TAACGGATTTTAAAGGAACATGCTGCTACGACAAACATTATTGCTTTATTTTCAGTCAACACCATATCAACAGATGCACACAACTTTTTGTCTATTTCATACATTCTTGTAATTTGTTCAAAAAACTTTTGAAGTGCTACAGTCTCCCCAGAAAGGCAAAGGTGAACATTCAATGAGATCGTTGGTGTTGCCTTGCTGCCTTATATTACCTTCATTACATTGTTGTATGCTTCTGCTTTTTATTTAGAGGTCTTATAGTACATGTGGAGGATTCCTGTTGATTGTAGACTAAATTCTAGAAAGAAGGGAAGAGACAATCTTCTAGGTTTTGGATATAGCAACCAGTCAGAGGCATTTATATGAAGCTGGACCTTTTGCCCATTCAGTTGTCTTTCTGCACACCCGAATGCCAATTACTGAGTTGAACACACCTTTCCATGCTACCCCGTTTGTATGCTCTTAGGATGAAAATGATAGCTCACGAGTAAGGTAATGTGTCAAAATGGCTTGGCAAAATCAGGCAATTTGGCACCTTTTAAAGGTATTAAAACTCTTTCTCTGTGGTTAGATCGGGGACCTAACACACATCTGTTCCCCTGACTAAATCCAACAGCCCACATCAATCACCAAGCTCTCAAGCAGTTTCCTGCATGCAATACCAGTCAGAAGACAGAGTGACCACACACAGCAGGCTGCCTCAGTGCAAAGCCCAGGAATTAATATTTCCTGTAAAGAAATAGCTTTCTGCTTTGGGGAATCCTGTTGTCTTAGTTCTTTCCCAAGAAACCTGTCAAGAGCAGAGTATGAAGCCCAAGGACAGGAAGGGAGCTCAAAGACCAAGAAATACATGTTGGAAAAAAGCATGTTTTATTCATATAGAAGTGGGTTAGAGAGCATGTCATGAAACAGCAGAGTTAGTATCTTACCATGTGTTGTAAAATAACTTATCTCAGGTGCTGACCTCTAGACCTGGCTTGGGTTGAATAATTCTCTCTGAAATCCATACTACTTTGTTGCTGTCTGCATTGTATTGGTTGAAAATCATGAAGTAATGGTTCCTCAAAAGGGAAATGACTTATTTGCAATGGATCAAGAAGCAGGAGAAAATGCAGGTGTGTATTTGCTGTTGAGAGGCATTTTCTTTAACATGGTTGGAGAATACACAGGATACTGATAAAATTGATGCTGGCATTAGCCAAAAGGTTGGAAAAGGAAAGGAGCAATGGTAAATAGAATAGGGGGGGGGAGGAAAGCAGTGGGGCATACTTTTGGTTAATTTTATAATCAATGTGTGCTGTTTTTGTTTAGTGTAAGATCATTTTGAGAAGAATGCTCAGGGCATTAAAAATACTGTGGAGCAGGACAAAACTTTTCTTCAAAGACCTAATTGTTAACTAAGACCTACTGAAAAAATGGTAATCCTAAACCCTTTTTACAACTGAATAAGTTTAGACACAGTGAATTAGATTTTGAAATGTATTTTGGCTTGTGAAGAGTTTAAGTGCAAAGAGGATTTTCAGGGAGGCCTAGACAGATTTAATATCTATTTCTAATTAATCTGAAGGAAGTCAGCATCTCAACCACTTACTAACGTGCCGGTGAAGTCCCATGCTTGTAGAAGCCTTGGGTGTCATGGTTTAGTGTGAGGTGTCCCTGCCCATGGCGGGGGGTTGGAACTTGATGATCTTAAGGTCCTTTCCTACCCTAACTATTCTATGATTCTGTGATTCTAATTGTTCACAAAGGTATAAAAACATTTAAGGATCTTTTGGAACAACTGTTGGTAAGGCAGGGTCAAGAGAGATCAAGTGAACTATGTCGAGCCCCAAGAATTCAACCATGCACAGCTGAAGAGCCAGCCAGGAGGAAGCCCTGGTGTGGATGCAGGGCTTGAGGACAGGATGTGATTGTAATTACAGAAGGATCTCAAGGCCTCTTTGTGAAGTCAGGACAACCGGGGCAACATCAGGTGATTTAAAAGAAAGGCCATGTAGAGGACATGACTTCTGCCTCTTGTCATTCTTGCTGCAATGAAAACATGAGAGAAAATACTGCTGAATCCTAAGGCTGCCTCAACACCACTGGAGTTCATTTGTATTTCCAGGAGAAAGGGCAGGGGGTGAGGGAAAAAAGAAAGTGATTACCATTATATTACCTATTATTAAGTCTGTAGACAAGAAAAAGTCCATTACTGATCCCACTTTCTCTTATAAAAGCATACTTCTATTTTACATCCTGTGACAGCTCTCTACACAGTTGTATAGGTATATCGTGTGGATGTAGGAAGAAGAAGCTTGATCAAGTGATTCCAGTTATTTTTTCCTGTATCTGTGTTGTCTTGAAGTAAAATCTTAAGGATTTAGTTTAACCAGTGGCACAGAGAATTGTTAAGGGAAGTCCTTACCTTTCACCTGTGTGAGGTGAATAGGAGAGGACTCACACAAAGCAAAATGAATTTGCTGATCTCTGTTCAGCCTCAGTTAAATCCTAATTCATGTCACAAAACTACCAAAATATCTCAGTGGGGTTACTGTGGGTCTTTTCAACTTCAGAGATGGCCAAGGCTGTGCTTACAAAGATATGGAGTGGATCGGTTTGATGTGCACAACACAGCAATGCCCCTGAAGGGAAATCTGAAACCAGCCCAATAAGAGACTTTTAGGACAAAGTAAGAACCCTTTGTCATATAGCTCAGCAATGAATGTTGTGCTGCCACAGCCAGGTACCCCAGCTGAACACAGTGGTGTCTCTGTGGGATGTCTAGGGTAGGGTGAGGAATGAGCCCTCTGAAGGCATGTTACACACTCTCTATCTTTGTCTGGAGGTGATGGGACATGGAGGAATACTGGGGTTTCCTGTGGTTTTCACTGCCAGGAGCCTGTATGAGATCGGACAACTCCCAGTGGTGACTGGGAACATCCAATCCCTATGGGTTTTTTTGGACTAGAGCCTTGGCTCTTTCCACAGAAAGGCTAAAAAACTCATTCCCCACATCACACGTATACTTTGTGAATGGTTTTGTTCAAAATCTCTGCAATTAGTTCTGGAGGTAGGTAAATGCTTTCTCTTTCACTTAAAAGATGGTCGTATCTGTGCCTAGTGTCTATTTCTTGGGTCTCTTACTTAAAATCAAGACTTTGCTCGGAAAACAGGAAAACAGGAGCATCTAGGTTAAACATTGCAGATTTTTCTGCTGGCCTCAGCAGAGCAGCTTTTTTAACAGCACTTACTTCAAAAAACACCTCTATTTCAACTTCAGTGTTGGCTTCCCTGCCGAGTTAATTAATCTCTGAGGACTGGAGATTAAGCGCATTTGGAAAGTGAGCAGAATTTGGTTCTCGGAGAGTTGCATACATTTGCCATTTGTGGTTAGGAATAGAACCCAGAGACTGTTTATTCCACAGTAGGAAAAACAGTTTTTACTTTTCTTAAACATTGCTAGCTAGTTTATGGCTCCTGGCAGGAGTACAGTAACTTTGAGCAACTAGTTTGTTTGTTCCAGCTAATTTATAGAGGGTGGTATTCATTTTTGTTTTCCCTTAAAGGGTTTCTGCAATGTAACAGGCCCCTAACGGGACATTGCTTAGACCTGATAGAAATCAGGCATACAGTGTTCTCCAGAATCCAAATAGCCAGACAAGAGCGTGCTAAATCCATCACACTGCCGACAAGATATTAAATGCAACAGTTACTGCTATGTCCTGTAATTCCTCAGGTCTCCAGCACAAGAAGCCCTTTTTCAGACAACAGAGGGGATGAGGGGTGAGCTAATTAGAAATCACATTCCAAGGAATGGGCTGACGTCATTAAAGCAAGCTTAAAGTAAGGTGATAGCCATCTGGGTGTCTTGTGCGAGGAAGAGAAGAAAGGGTGAAACACTGCCATATTAAAACAGCCGTTTAAGGCTGAAATCAAAGCTCTTGAGGGTGGCTATGAGGACTTTCTCCTCCTTTTATTCATAACATGAACCCACCATGTGGTTTTTAAGAATTCCCTTCCCATTTGATTTATCTGAAACACGGGGACATGAGCAGCAGGTGGTGTAAGTTTGGGACAGCTTCCAATGACTGCCAGGGTTTCCTGGCTCAGCTGTATAGAGGTAAAAGCAGAGGCAGTTGGGGCCCAAAAGGGTTTTTAGGGCTTTCCTTTCTATCTCTTCTGATTCTACCCCAGCAGTTGACTTCAAATGGCGCTGAAGCCAGTTGCCTGCTCCTTTGCTGCTTACCTCAGCTAATCCAGGATTACAAAGCTCTTTACAGGAAAACTGAAGGCTTGGGTGTGAAGCTGATGGGCCTCGTAGTGACTCAGACTGGGAGTATTGTATAAAACCTAGCAGTATCAGATAATGCTTAAGATGAACCAGCCAGTGCATGATTTTATTCAGTCTTTCTCTAATTTGGGTGGATAATCTTTTGCATTGCTATAGAATGTGAAGGCTGCTATGGAAACTGTGGGTTGGTTGCGATGAGGCAGGGTTCACTCCCAGTGCACAGTGATGGGAAATAAACAAATAGAACATTACAGTAAAATCAGGCTAAATGCAACTGATATGACTTTGAATTATATAAAATTTCAAATGACATTTACACCCTCATGTGAAAGGTATCCACCTTTGTGTGTCTAAACCATGGTCTTATAATAGATGTTGTCTCACACTGGCACTTTGAGTATCCATGTATTTTTGATGTGAGAGTTATTAGAACTTAAGTTTGCCTGAATCTTGCAATAAAGCTTTGCAGAGTGTTAGGTCAGCCTGGGATTCTAAAGCCAAGCAGAAGAATTACTCAGAGGAAGGTCCCATTATTCTTATCCGGGCTTTTCACTCTTCCCTGTTTTGCTATTAAAACAGATTGTTGCATACTGACTCGCTCACTAAAACCACACAGAAGTGCGGGTTTCAATGCCAGTATACATACATATATGTATATTTAAAGTTCAGATTTGAAATTTATTTCTGTACTTCACTTGGGAGACAAAAAAAAACACAATCCAACAAAGCATAAGAAGAACAAAGACCTTTATAAGGTTTGATGAAGCTTCACAGAAAGCCACAAAGGAACAAGCACTGCACAAAGGTAAGTAAGAGCAGAGGAAAGGCAGAATCTCCTAGAAGAGCTTTTTCTCTGAGGAATTTGCTTTGGCTCCTTTGTAAGAGCCAGGATTAGTTCAGCTCCTTGTCAAGCTCCTGGACCCATTTATTTTCGTGAGCATTTAGGGAGAGGCTGCTTTGAAGGCTAAGGAGATAATTGCAGGATGAAAGGGACTGCTAGTTTGAAGGAGCCCATTTGATGAGTGTATCTTTTTATTGAGGATTTATTTTGTCCTCTGATAGTGTGTGTAAGTGCTGTACAAAGTACCCACAGCAATGGAGAGGCATTTAAAACAATTACATTTGAATTAATTAATATAATGAATGACTGATAGGAAGATCAAATTGTTATCGTTATCTTTTAGTGATAAATGGAGGGTGGAGGGAAAGCAAAGAAGTGCTGGCGTAGTTGGCTCCAGCCTAACACATGTTTATTTAAGTGACTATACAAACATAACCCTGTATGTCAGTTAAATCAGCAGCATGTCAGTCGGCACTTCTGGTTACAGACTATTTCAGAGTCATTCATCATTCAAAGCTATAAAAGCCATTTACCCTCAGCCTACCAACCAATCAAACCAACTAGAAAATGGAGCAGGAAAGAAGCACTAACAATTGTCCTTAGTTTCCTTTTAACTTTTCCTGCAACAATTCAGTACATCCTGTGTGGTGGGATATAAGAGAGGTTTTACTGAACTAAACAGAGTTTCCTTCACCGGGTCATTAAAAGCGGGAAAGGGAGGGGAAAGAGAAAGGAATGAAAAAGGAGAAAGCAGAAAGTTAACCCTTGCTCTACCATTTTTTTTCTTTTACAGGCAACATTTATAAATTGCCTTCATCTATATCTTTTTCACCCATTAATATGATTCTTGATTATTTTTTACCAGCTATAAAGGCAATGCAAGGTCTCAGAAAAGGTCTGATGTAGATCATGGCCAGGAGGTGCTCTGCTGCCCTTAAATTCCACATAAACCCTCCAGTGTTGGGCTGCTAAAACAAGGAGTAGTCACCAGTGCTATTAGGGCTTGATGAGAAATTGCTGCATCTTCACAAATGCCACCCTCTGAGCCATTCCTTTCTGCTCTGTGTGCCTCTGTGACTTCTTCCAGGTAAGTAACTTGAATCCCAGATGCCTGTGGATGCCATGGCCAGGAAGTTCAGCAACCTGCAGAACACAAGGTTTTAGAACATCACAATTTCAAGGGGAGAAAATAATGACAAGAAGGTCTTTTCAGTCTTGAGTGGACCCTCCTCTAATTTGATGGCTAACTCCTGCTACTTTCTTCCCATTTGTTCTGATATATGGCTTGATCCCACAAACCTTTCCTCTCACCAGTGATCCCATTAAGATAAATGAGACCTCTCTCACGACTGAGAGTGGGCAGGTATCTGAATAAAACAATCAGCAAAATCAATCAGTTCTCCCTTGTCTCCCTAGTAAAATTCCCTCCATTATAAGTGCACTAGCGTGCAAAGAATGGGAGTATTATTGGGTAATAATGTGTAAAATGGCCATATCCAGTTGCTTTTTGACCGTTTAATTCCGGTATTTTTCGAGTTCTGTCTGTGCTCTGCCTGATTCAAATCCTCCCCTCATGTTTATTATTAGTTAACTATTTCTTAATGGACCCCTTCATTTATGAATAAAACTCAACAGCAGTTACAGCCCCAGTGGAGACCAGTACACTACCCATCTGCTCCATCACTTGCTCTCGGCGTTGGCATTCTGCACAAGTCCCAGCCCCTCTCATCGTAACAAGCTAGGATCAATTTTCCAGTGGCAGCTTGGAAATAATAGTACAAAATGTATATTAATACAGAAATACATTGTGAAACTGTCCTTAAACAAACAAATGAGCCACTTTAAAATATTACCACTATAAATGACCATGACAGTAGCACAGCACATATAATAAAAAATAACTACTGAAGAGAAGCTACTGAATTACTATAGTAATAAACCAGATGTGATTATTATCATTTAACACAGTCATTGAATACCATGAATCCCTGAAGCCATTAAAATATTTATGATTAAACATTTGCTATTCCTTAGAACATATAGTTGGGTACTAAAAAACTGTGAAGTATTATTTTGGCTAATATGTGCTAGTGCCATGATAAGGGTCAGCTGCCACTGCCCAAGCTTTCTGGAATTAGCACTTAAGAGCTGTCCTTCTTCTCTTGTTTTTTCAATAACCATTGTAAGGTTAGATACCTCTATAGCACATTATTTTGTTCAATAGAGAGATAGAGATGTATGCCTTCATTTTCTTACGTGCATCTATACGAAGGGAAAACACGAATATCTGACTTTATTTGTGGAGCAATGGATGCATTCTGTCATAAAGGGATTATAACAAAGTATTTAATGCTTTTAGTAAAAAAATAGCTGAGATTAAACAATATGCATATGCAAAAATGAAGTCTAATTACCTTCAGGAATTTTAGCATGCAGACACTGTATTACCCATTGAACATGTTTCATCTTGTGGGCACTGGATTTTTCCTTTCATTGTTGGAAATGCTTCTCTGCCTGTTTCTCCGTGGTCTGCAGCATCCTGTTTGGCTACTGATAAAGCAGCCTTGGGTGCTGTGACCTGCAGGTGAGAAGTGTCTGTTCCTGGTGTGAATTGTGAGTGAAAATGGACGTTGGTGTGCTGTGCAGGTACTTGGCTCTCTTGGGGTGTGTGATGCGAAGTGTAACATCAGTACTAATTTGTGACTGGGGTGAGGAAGGGCACTGCAGCCATCCTAGTCTGTTATGGGAAATATTCCCCGGCCAAATGTGCATTGCTGTTCTCTGCAAGCACATTTTGCTGCCAAACGATGGGGATTCTCCTTTAGCCCCAGCACTCTGTTCTTTATACACACGGTCCCATAAGCTTTACTAACTGCACAGTCACTGTGAGGTTGCTCTTTGCTACACACTGACAGCTGTCAAGTCCCAGATTTATTCTAATACTTTAATAAGCATTCCATAATAAACAAGATGTGTCCCCCATAAAAGCCTCCTAAAACACCAGCAGGTAAGAGACATCTTTCCTTCATACTCCTATGCTCTTTTTTTCCTACCATCAAAGAAAACCAGTTTCTCTCTCTGGATGCTCTTGAACTGAAGGAAGTCAAAAACAAACCTCAACATGACAAGGGCAGAGGTATGGAAAATTTTGACTGCTTTCACAGGATTTCACTGTCCTGGCTTAGAAGTCACGCTGCAAACCCTGTGGTGACTTTGACAGACAATGTGAGCTGCAAGTATGCACTGTGAAGGACAAATACCTTTAAATCCATGCTGCTTCCAGAGGAAAGAGGAGCACGTCCTGAAGATGACTCTCTTTTGCTAAGTGAATCTGGGAGGTGCCCATTTCTCCCAAGAGGATGAGATGAGTGTAATTGAGGTGCCCGACCATTTAGAAGGCTGATGTTAAGTGAAATGAAGCCCATCTTCAAGTAATGTGTAACACACAAGCTTAAAGCCCTGCTTGCTTGTCACCTGACTTCAAAGGCACATATCCTCCATCCTTGCCCCTTGGGTGTATTTTCAATCCTGAGCAGCTCAGCACTTCACCCAGGACTGTCTGGGACACAGAAACTGAGCTCTGCTCTGACTAAAACCCTTGGTCAATCTTACTAAAATGGGCATCTGCAGAAACGAGCACACTGACAATTCTAGGGTCCACAGGAAATTCTGGAAGAAAGAGCAGTAGCTGCTGCTGGTTTGTTATAAATGAGAACATAAGAGAAGCGCATCATGCCCCGCTTTTGTATGAAAGCCAGGTGGCAGAGCATTTACCCGCAGGGTGGGAAATACCCATTTAGTTCTTTCCTCTGCCTGAGAAGATTCAGACCTGCACCTTCTACAGCAGTGAAGTAATCAGCTAAGCACAGGCCTGTCCCAGTAGTGTGTTAGTCATGTCTGAAGGTTGCCCTCTGGGGACTAATGTGGAAGTTTATCTAATTTCTCAATCTAGCTAGGCTAAAGCAGAGTAGAGAGGCATAGCTCTGTGTGAAACTGAAATAGAGAGGCGGCACTGATGGATTTAGGCAAGAGAGAAGCTGTGAAAAGGTTTCCAGCATTGCACTGTTGGAGTCAAGCATCTCGTTTTCACTTCAGAAGCCCCTGTGCCCTCTCCCTGGGAACCCACGCAGGGCAGAGGTCCAGCTGCCTGTAGCACGTGCAGCTGAGGGCTGGACGCTGGATGTCACTTAACCCTTTAAACTTGTCTGAAGGGATTATTTGGAGCTCCAGTACACTTAACCCAGTCTCTACATGGGGGATAGCGGGACCAGGCAGTGACTGTCAGTCAGGAGGGCCAATTTTAACTTCTCCCAAGGATATGATGGGCTCCTCCTCTAGCTCATGGCCAGCAGCCCTTCCTGAGAACCATCCAGCTCCAATTTCAAGAGCTGTTTTGCCGTGTCTGCTGAAGGCAGTCACCATGCAGCCTGCAGATTTGGTTGGAGTTTTTGTTACAGCAAGATTCAGTGAAGAGATATTGGTGGATTGCATCAGTCCTGGTATTAGGAACCCCCGTAATTAAACAAAGAATTTATTTTATTCTCCAGACAGTCAGGAAGGACTCCAAAGGCCACTTGTGGTTTATGATACAGGCAACCTGAAAATTCTCCATCTAGACTCAGGTGTTTCCTATTCTGTTTGCAGAAACAGACATAGAACTGCTTGGATTCAAAGGGTCCTTCAGAAGTAACTCCATAACTTCCAAGTAAACCTCGTATACCTTCCTCCTGTGTCCCTCCCATCAGTTGCATCACCAGATGCTACCCGGTGTGAGTGGGAGCACGTGTGCTGTAAGAAAATAGACAGCACTGCATCCAGAAATAGTTACTTTTAATGAAGGGCTATTCTGATAAGACTCAGCTTCCATTTTCAGCCATCTGAAATAAAGATTGCTTTAGTTTACCTGTAAAGTATTTATTAGAGTTTCAGGCTTTGTGTAGAGTACTAAACCAAGGATGGGTTTGGAGTTTCTTTGAATGGTATCGTTATATCCACAGATATTTTCTCAGAGCTTAAAAACGTAAGACAGTGTAGGGCCTCACCTGTAGTTAAGGGTTTCCTGCTGTCTGGATTTACCAAAATCAAGTTTATGAGAGATTTTAGCTGCATCCAAAATGGACAAAAAGGGTATTGCAGTAGTCAACCCACTACCCATCTGCTCAGTGCCAGAGATATGAATCCAGGCTCCTCAATTCTCCTTCTGAAATGTGAGGAAGGCTGGAGTTACTTCATGCTCACTTTGATGAAATAAGGAACTGGAGAATCTGTTGGCACATGTGGAGGTTTCAGAAATTAAGAGCAGCTTTTAATATGATGCAAGATTTCTGTAAGCTTTCCATTATTCTGATTTATTAGTCCTCAAGGCAATGTGGAAAGTGAACAGAAAGCATACTTGAAAAAGAAATTAAATTACAAGAGCTTTCAGTATTCTAAGACATATTTGGACTCCTGCATTTGCTACTCATGAGGCATGATTATGCTGTGCTGTTGCAATAGACTCCATGTTTTGGATGACTATATTTATTAGGGAGCAAAAACATGGGTAAAGATTACCTCTGCCTTTTGGTTTTGAGAAACCCCTGGGCCTTTTTTGGCTTCTGCCTGTTCCCAAGGGAATAGATCCAGGCAAAACAATATCCAGGAAATGAAAACATGGGAGAAAACACTCAGAATTACCTAGCTAACCAAAAGGATTGGCTGACTGGTATAGCAGTAAGGCATTTAGCTGGCATTTAGCTGGCATTTAGCTGGCATCTAGATTAAAAAATAATCTAGAAGTAATCTGAAATGGGATTTCTCTATGTAGGTGAATGGCAACTGGGATCACAGACAATAAATTTTAGAACAAAAATGCTCTGGGTATATTGGGGTAGATTTAATGCCATAAATCACTGGCATAAATTGAGGTATGTTGATTACCAGCGCCTGGGTATCTCCTGTACGTGACATTTTACTCCATTTCTCTATATTTCTATTGGAGTTTCACCAGCACATAAAATCAAAGAAGCAATAATACAGTAGAATCGGTATAGCCAGCCACTTACTACCCACTGCTTTATTTTCTCCATAATATTTTCGGAGTGTTTTGGAGAGTAATTTTGAACAGTCAAGTCAGAGTCTGCTGAGAATTGATTTCTATGACCTTACATATTGTAACAGAAAATTATAACAGGAAATAAACCGTTAAGTGATAAACAAGGAAACATGGATACAATTACTTTCAGAACATAAATTTACTCACTCCAGTTTTGAAAATGGAGAGACAGTACTGACTAGAACACCTCAATTCTGAATGCAAACTGTACAATCTATTATATTAAACAAAGTCAAAAGCAATGTGAAAGATCTTGAATCTATTCAAGGCATGCACCTCATTACAGACTTAGCAAATTAAAACACAAATAGGATTAGAAAAGAATAATGTAACAATCTCCCACTATGGTCCCTGGAGCATTAAGTCATAAATTGGGTTTGCATTAAATTGTGCCTGCAGTATTGAATTCAGGGAAAGAGCTATAGGCTGAAGATAAACCTTGATAGGCTGGCCAACTTTGGTATGGCTGTGTGTTTTCATAAACACACAATGAATTCATTGGAATCTAAAAAGGCACATTTGAACACATGCATTTCATATCGTAATTAGAAAACACAGATATGGTGCAGCAATCCCTGGGTATGCCAAAGCCAAAAGCTGCAGGCATTTGAAATCGTCGCTTCATCTGAAGACATTGTTTAAATAGGAAAGTTAAGCACTTCCATCAGATCTCCTAGTGTTACACTATGCAAGTTTTCACGTTTACCCAAACCTCTAGCATGTCACAAGCTTCTTTTAAGTGGAGAAAACAACCTTATCCCAGAAGGCTAGAGAGAAGCTGAGTTTCCATATTATGGATGTATTCTGTTGTTATGGGAACTAAAATGGTGAGCGACGTGAAAAAGATCCTTAGCTAACAAAGCCCGGCTTGATGTTATTATGGCAGTAGCTATGCAAAATGCAAACAGATCTGCAATAAATAAATAGGGCTTCTTAGGGAGATGCAGATTCCTGAAAAGAATTGACTTTAAAAGAGAGTGAAATTTGACATTTGTGTGACCCCAGACAAGCCACTGAGTAATACTAGGGATTAATTTCATTAATATTTATTTAATAAAGGCTTTATCCTTCAAAGGTATATTATTACCATCACCATCCTCCTGTCATTTCGGGGATCACTAATAGCAGCTGGTCTGGTCAAGGTGCTTGTAATTTCCCACTATAAAGGAGCCCTTGTATGACATTATACATGGGGTTTACACTTCCTTTTTTAGTGGTTCTCATGGCTCCGTTGTCTGTCACAGACTTTGGCAATTTGGCAGGCAGAAAACCCTTAAAGCTAGGGAGCTGTCTTTTCTTTGTCAATGCATCTTCTCTCAACTTTTGTTGCTACAATCTCTTAGCATCTGCCAATTCCCTCCCCTAGTTTGCACTGTGCAGAACCATAGTAGCAGCATGATGAAATAATATCAGACCTCATTAGTATTTTAAGTCTAGTCTCCCAGCCACTGCCAAAAAAGCACATGCTATCCTGGGAACACTTGGATTTCAATAAAACAGCTGGAAGAGAAGTGAACTTTGTCCAGTGACTGGGGGATGCTGATACCAGGAGATGGTGTGCATTGATGGGACTACAGGGCCTGTATCTGAACAGTAGAATCCAAGGACATCCACACATCCACTTTTAAATTTGTATCAGGGCACCAACCAAATGGCATATTGGGCTAAGAGCAGGCTATTCTTAGTCTCCTCCTTGCAAGGGTTTCCAGTGATGGGAATGCACTGGGGCATTGGCACAGGACTGCAGACCACCCTGGGGCAGTGCCGACTCTGCAGCTTGGATGTGGCAACAGTACATCAGCTGAGACTCATTTTCTGTCATATATGAATTGCAAGAAGACAGATGGTGAAGAGGCTGAACCTGGTTATATAGGCACAAGACGCAAGGGCACTCAAGGTCAGATCATGCGTGTAAGTTCTGGTCCTGCCCAGTGAACAGGTACTCTGTCTCTCAGCAGCAATGATGCTCAGTTCTGGAGAAGAGGCTACTGAAAACTGGGGCATCTTGCATCTATAGGTGCACATCCAAACTGAGGCTGCTGGCATTTCTCTCCTGACCTCAGGTCCCAGGGCACACACAAGACTTGCCAGGGGGCTTGCACCCAAAGCTTCTGTGCACTTTCCAGCTAGGGCTCTCTGGGCTGCAGACAGGGCAGCAGGGATCTGCAGGTCACATCGCACAGTTTACTAGTTCCTCATTTTAGATCCAGTGAGGTTTTACTCTGGGCTGGGGTGGGAAGGGTTTTCTCTCCCTCTTCATTTTGCCAGTGGAGAATTTGCTGGCTAAACAAGGCTGTCTCCTCCTCCTGGCTGACAGCTCCCTTCTGGAGCAACCTTTTAACATTTTTCTTGATTTTCTTAAACAGCAAACATTAGACACATTAAGAACAGCAACAACAAAATCATTAAGCACTATAACATTCTCTGAGGAGCCAGACGTATCCTTTAATCAGGTTATGGAAAATTCATTCCTCTTCTAGCCATTTATCTTCTTTGTTTATGCACATACCAAGTGACCCACTTCTGAACATCAAAAATAACAACAGAGAAACAACCAAAGATTCTTCATTATTAATGGATTTATGTGCCATTTATTTTGTTTTATTGGAAACCAAATGATCAAGTTCATTTATTCAAATTAAACACAGCACACACTAACTGTCTATCATTTCTACCAGTGAATCCAGTTCGCTCACTACTTGACTTCAGTGGGGAAAGGATCTGTACCATACTTCCTCCTATAATGACTGGTTGCAATAAAGATGGAGAGGTAGAGACTGAAATTAGGGTTATATTTTTCTCCCTGTTTTAGCTTACACATCCAGTCACCCCTACAGATGCAAGGGGGGTAAACCAAACACTGTAATTTCATGAACTAGTATTGTAGACTACATCAGATCAAATTTGTCCCCAAATTCACATGATTTATAACAAGTATAATGTATCTATTATCATGTAATGAGCAATGCAGAGATCTCTGGCACAGATCGCTAATGAAAATTCTATGAATAAGAATAATAAACATGATGCGTAGGTTTGTAGTAAAAATGGCTTATTAAAAGCAATAAAGCCTCAGACTCAGCACTGGCTAAAACCACTGAATTAGTCAGGTAGACTTGACAGAAATTAGTGACCAAAGAACTCCTCATTACACAAGTCGTGTGCTGACATGATTCATATTTTAGCGCCTAAACCAAAGGTCTCCCAGAAAGACAGCTTTGGAAGAAATAATCTCATCATTTTATTGAGATTTCATAACACGTAATTTTTTTGCTGTTCCTGACAAAACTATTCAAAATGAAATTCACTTGACAAGAGAAGTACAGGAAGGTAAAGTAGCAGAAGACACTGCAAAAAATACTGTAGAA